ATATTAAATTTTGACAATTTTTTAGATATTCAGGAAATAAAAAACTTTTTTCTACTATGTCGTATATTTTACCATTGTGATTAGGAGTGAAAATCGAGTCAAGCTGCTTGTGAGCCATTCAAACTCGATCGATGTTGGCTAAAACTCAATTCGGCATTAGTCGAGTCGAGTTCGAGTTCAATTAGTTAATCCAATCGAGTTCGATCACAGTAAAACTTGATTCGATATATTTGCTAGTATTTCCAAACTGGATGGTTAAGTTGAGAGTGTTTTAAGTAATAGGGGTCATATGTAGTTTAAAAGTTATAAAAATTACAAATCCACCATTATAGATGAGCTCGAAATTGAGTTCAAACTCGAACTCGATTAAAACTCAACAAAACTTGATTATACGAACTCGAATTCAAATTCGATTTCCAATTTCAAGTAACGAATTCGAGTTCGAATTGATGTCTTAGGCTTGAACTTAGTACTATAGCAAAACAAACTTGTATCATGCAAAATTTAATCGTATTAAAGATGTGTGACGAAAAAAAAAAAAAAACCACAATCTTGAATGTGAATTTTTAATTTGATTTATTGGAGGGTCGAAGATCGAATTGTGTCATATGACATTTTTATTATATAGACAGAAAAGAGATATGGTAGAAAGAGAGAAGGTAATTAATAATTACAAATAAATATTAACTTTCGTAGTAGTTTCCTTTCTTGTTTTTTTTTTTTTTTTTTTTTTGTTTTTGTCATTTTGTAATCAATTCCAGAGAAGATGCCTTTTAAAGAGTAGAAAGCTATTGGTGTTTAAATTGACTTTAAGATAAGAAAGGATAAGAATCTAAGATTGAGACATTCCCTTTTTGTATTTTATTAATAAATCAATCGGATATTTGTATTTTAATTTTGCTCCTGTTAAAGATTTTTTCCTTTTTAATATACCCTTTGTTATCGTGTGATGGGCCAATAGTTTGAGCCCATTGCACTCATTTCTCTTAGCCCGTTAAGCGACCAATTAAACATTTACACTAATTTGGTCCGTTAAACTACAATTGTTCGTAGCTATGATGTTATTGCATTACGTTTTATAATTATCATTTGATAGTTGCGTTGTCAACTAAGATTTTTGAATATATTATTAAAAGAATTTTTGAGTTCAATTCACCTCGGTCCTTAATAGAGATGACCACTGAAGAGTTACTCAATTATTAATATAAAGGTTTCGATGATTAATTGAGGTGTGTATAAATCGGTTCAAACTACCCTCGGTCATAAAAAAAAGGATATAACGTTTCATATTATTACATTTACTTCATATTATAAACAGGTGGTTGGATCGATTTATTGATGTTGATTACTACTAATAAGCTATGACATTCATTAATTATTAGATCGGTCGATTATTTGGGACATCTGATTTTCATCGTTTTATACTCCTCACTCACATCAATTATCGATTTCAAATCTAATGCATGCCGTATGTACATGCCAATTGGGAATTTAAAAAAAAAAAAATTTATATGTTTTTGTTATGAAATTGTAAGGGTGTAATGTGTAAGTGTTTCATTCTAAAATATGTGGGTTTCCTTGTATTAGAAAAAAAAAAAAAAACCACAATGTGAATTTTGTGATTTTTTTAATTTATTTATTTGAAGGGTCAAAGATCGAATTGTGATACCATATGACATTTTTTATATAGATAAAAAAGAAATATGGTAGAAAGAGAGATTAGAGAAGGTTAATTAAGTAATTATAAATAAATTTTATCTTTCGTACGTAGTGTTTATGTTTTTTTTTTTTTTTTTTCCTTTTTTTTTTTCATTTTGTAATCAAAAGTTTAAGGGAATATGCCGTTTAAAGCTAGAAAGCGATTGGTGTTTAAATTGACTTTAAAATAAGAAAGGATAAGATTGAGACATTCCCTTTTTGTATTTTATTAATAAAATCAATCGGATATTTGTATTTTGTTCCACAAGGATTACTAGACCTTAGAGATGTTGTTAGAAAATTATGGAGTTTATGCATATGAGAAACTATGATTGCCGACCTAAGCGAAACCAATCAACACAACGATCGGTCTAAAAATTATCAAGGCTCTCCTTTTATCCCACGCACACGTATACCCACGCAGTTTCAAACATCATCTAAAAAGGCTAATAAAAATTAAACAACAACATAAATGGAGAGCATAAATATAAATGAAAAACATGTATAAAAATGAAGAACAAGAACATAAAGGAAAACATAAATATTAAACATGTTAAAGAACATAAATTAAAACATATATGTAATCTTTTGCTATCTATAACATTTTCAGAGTATTACATCACCCTTGAGGTTGAAGAAAACTTAGAAATATGAAAGAAACATGAAAGAATTATAGTAAAGATGTGTAGAGAAAGTATGGAAGTGTAGAAAAAATATGAAAATGAAGAGTGAGAAAAGTAAACAAAAGTATTTGCAGAGTTTTTTTCTTTTTAATATACCCTTTGTTATTGTGTGATGGGCCAATAGTTTGAGCCCATTACCCTCATTACTCTTGGCCCGTTAAGCTACCAATTAAACATTTACACTAATTTGGCCCGTTAAACTACAATTGTTCATAGCTACAACGTTATGATATTACGTTTTATAACCATCATTTGATAGTTGAGACAATTAGGACTTTTGGATGTATTACTCAAAGAACTACCAATTAAACATTTATACTAATTTGGTCCGTTAAACTACAATTGTTCATAGCTACAATGTTATTAATATTACGTTTTATAACCATCATTTGGTTGTTGAGCAGTCAATTAGGACTTTTGGATATATTATTCAAAGAATTCTTGAGTTCAATTCACTTCAATTGCTAATATGGATGATCACTAGAGACTTACCTAGTCATTAATATCAATGCCTCAAGGATTAATTGAGAGCATGTAAACTGGTTTGAACACTTTCGGTCATAAAAAAAACGATATTACGTTTAGTTAATATTATAAACAGGTGGTTGGATCGATTTATTGATGTTGATTACTACCAATAAGCTACAACATTAATTAAGTTTTCAAAGCTAAGTTTTGTGGATCAGCTGTAACATGATGTGTAGCTCCTGAATCAATGTACCAATTTTGATCAGTGATGGTGAGTGGAGAGGCTATCAAAGAAGATTGAGGATTGTAGGAACCAGGACATTGAGAAGTAACAAAGGTAGCACCATGCTGTTGCTGAGTTGGTACTCCTTGTGAAGGATACAGGTGACTGAACTGTGATGGTTCTCCATAGTAATATTGATGGAAGAGAGGATGCGCCAGATTGAGCATTCATATGAGCAACACCATTATTAGTCGACTTAGGTTGAAATTTTGCTGACTGATTTGAGGTAGATTGAAAGTGTACCTTCAGAAAAGGTAGGGTTACAGGGCGCTCGGAGGAGGAGATTTGTAAAAAGGATTACCAAGGCTGAGTCCCGTCTTGTACTGTACCAGATACATCTATTGAGTAAGAGAAAAGGCTAATTATCGATTCCGCTTAGTAGAAGAAAAGAAGACCCTAATATTATTATTATGAAATAGCTCGAACAGTAACTTTTGATTGTTGAAACCAATAAGTCAAATGATTTTAATTTAAAAATTAATCAATATTTTAATGCCGCAATTTCCTATGCTTAAATTATGGGTCAAAATTTAAAAATTATATACCACTATAATCATGCCATAATCACCTATGCTTAAATTGTGGGTCAAAACAGATAAAAAAAAAAGTACACGTAAATTTATAGGATTAATTTCATCCATTTTTAAGAGATCGATTAATATCAACTGTCAAATAGTTTTCGAAAGTTATTAAATACTTGTCGAGAATTATTAAAAATCTCTTATAAAAATATCTAAAGTCCTCTAAAAAAGGTGTTAAATAGTTTTTGAAAATCGTTAATACGCTTAATATTTATCGATCTCATAGGGTTTATAAAATAAATAAATTTATTATAAGCACAAATGTATCCAAATTACATGTCTAGAACATTTGAAGGTACGTAGTCAAGATTGATACTGGGAGATAACTTGATTAAATTGATAATTCGATCATTGATTAAGACAAAATTTATATTTAATTAGACTGGATTTATAAATTATCATGTGCAGTTGGATCACATATCTTGTTCACTGTCATTAATAGTCATTCTTTAATTTAATTTTTTTCAATCAATTTTTGTTGCTTCCTCTCTTCAAATGCTTAAAGTCTAGCATTTATGGGCGAAATTTGGGGCGATTGGATTAAATCTTTTTCTTATATTGACCAGTTTACAATATCTAATTTTTGTTTTTTTCTTAATGAATGTAATTTTCGACTATTAGTTAATTAATCTGAGGTTTATATAATCAATTTTGTACATATAGAACATTATTTCTTTGTTTTTATAATAAACTGGGAAATTATCTTTCATAAGATTGCACTAATATTTAATCTTAATTAAAATTAAATACATATTCAAATTCATTCAAATTAATCTACTAGTTTAAGCTCAAACATGATTAAGTTTATGTCAACATTAATTTAAATAACTTCTTAGCTATTATTGCTAGTAAAAAACCAACCGTTAAAATGATATTAGTATCAATATTGCATGTCAAAACGTTTTGTTAGTAATTATATACATACGAAAATTTTTAGATAAGAAAATCCTAAAGTTTTTAAAGTGCTGATCAAAAGCTAGAAATTGCCAGTTAGACATTGGCCATGGTTCTTGCAACCATCTTTCGATCTGCATGTTAAAAACGCCACGGCTTATACTTTAGGGGTTGACTATATACATATTTTCTTAAATTATTCCGAAGTTTGAAATTTGGATTTTAAAGTTATAGAGATTATGCTAACGTAGACCATATGAATTAGGGAGCGAATGAATGTCATCATCAATTAGATTTTTCGGAATTCGGGAAAACGTGAGAAGAAAGAATTGCTGATTAGTTTTCCTCTATAAATTGATGGAAATCCTCATGGTTTCATGCAAGCTTTTTCTATTACAATTTACAAAGAAAAAATATAACAAAAATGGCAACTCAGAGAAGTGTTCTTCTTATTATAGGGCTTGTCATTAGCAGCTGCTTTTTCTCTGTGGCATTCGCAGTCTCTGGCACTGCCACTTACTATACAACTTATGTTCGTGAGTATTTTGATCAATCCCAAAACCAAATTTAACTTTTTTTTTTTTTTTTTTTGAATGTTTTTTAAAACTGTTTTCGTATATAATTTAAAACAACGTATGCATGAGTTAAACCTAATTAAAGACATTGCAAATGAAAATCAATGGAATATTAACTTATTGGTTGTTTTGTGAATTTGTTCTGCGTGGCTAGCATCTGCATGCTACGGCAATGAAGACCAAGGGGTGATGATCGCCGCCGCAAGTGACGTATTGTGGGAGAACGGGGCTGCATGTGGAAGAATGTATAGGGTGACATGCACCGGAGCTACAAATGGTGTACCTGAGCCTTGCACAGGCGCAAATGTTACTGTCAAAATTGTTGATTATTGTCCAGGGTGTCAAGGAACCCTAGATCTCTCCCAACAAGCCTTCGCTCAGATTGCTAACCTTGTCGCTGGAATAATAAACATCGATTACACTCAGTAAGTATACATTGTTTTATGTTTTAACTAACGATATAGTTGATTTGACAATATCATATAATCGACAGTTATAAGATAGATGATATTGTTGTATCAAATTATTGTCACGTTTTTTCAAATATAAAATTACATTATATTTGAGGGTATAACAATTTTGTTTTCTTGTGATTTGCAGGGTTTGAAGATAATTCTGCTGTTAGGATTGTCAAACTATTTGATAATAATGTTGAGAATAAAATTTCTGAAATAAGAGTGTTCTTGGAAATAAAAAGGAATCCTTCTTCCTTTTATAATAATAATAATTTGTATTGAAATTATTATGTAATTATTTCATTTCTCTTTGTTTTGTATCTAAAATAAGAGGCTTCGACTGGTGAAAGTTTTATCACTTTACCAAGTTGATTAAACTTAAGTGAAATGAGTTAAACATGTTGATTCGTGCATTTGGGTAGCTTGTTCATCGTCGACATAAACTAAACATCCAAGATAAAATGTAAAGCACACAAGGCAATTTTACATGGTTCGACAATCGGCCTATATCCATGCATGGGACCAAGTCCAGATGATACTAATCTATTATGATAAATATTTATAGTTCAATTATAAAGTCAAAGTTAAGCATGACTAGTTGCAAGAACACTCTTTGATTTCACAACATTTCAAACATCACCCTTGGGTTGAACTTCGAACTACCACAACAAGCTTCATGCCAAGAGACCTCCTGGACAACCTTGAGCTCCTCTCAAGGATCAACACTAAAGATGCACTTCAACTCCAATAACTTAAAATCTCATCAAGCATCACCAATGGAATCACGTTCCAAACACGAACAAATAAGGTTAACAAAGGTATTTATAAGCCTACCAAAGCATATGAAACCTGATTAAAAACAAAGAAAACCTCAAAGTATATTTAGAGAACTTTCAGAAGTATATTCAGGCTTAATCTAGAATGCATTGTTGAAGTCAAATATAAAGAAACTTGTGCACCAATGCAAGGAGACAGCCAGCCAGCAAACACTTTTCATGTTTAGCCCTTTTGGGAAAGCTTTCACCAAACTTTCTTGAGACCATTATAAAGATAAATTCTCTAATACACCAAATGAGCTAATTACATTTGTACATGGACAACTTACACATGTCTCATATAAAGATAAAATCTTAACATCAAATAAAGACACAACTGGTGTAAATGAATTCTTGTTGAGCGAGTTCATCACACGGACATTGCGTGTCATGACATCAGAATACCATAAAACGATTGTATATAAACAGAGTAATGTTACGACATAAAAAATCAGTCATCACACAGAATTCATAATACGACAAAAATACTTACAACATGGAAGAAGAAGCTTTGTCCATTGAAGCTTGTATTAGAAATCGAGCTATTTGTCTCCAAATCTTCAATAAAATAAAAATCGAACTGGTACAAATGGAAGTTAATTACTTAATTACATTTTATATAATAATTATGTTATAAGAATTTTAAAAATCTTTCGTAGACCGAGCTCAACCGGGTTCAATTATAGCTTAATTAACCAAGATATTCATTCTTAAACACATTGATAAAACAGCAAAATCAAGAGTTACTACACAAAACTGATCTCTTTTATATATAGGTGGAGCAATTGCAAGGCTGCAACATATTCATTAACCATTAAAATGGTCACATTTTCTTCTTATAACGTTAATTAACATCTTAATTATCTCCAAAATTAGGGTAATATTGTTAATTTCCGAAACCAAGAGGATACCTTATTCTTGATTTGAGTTTAGGGTTTAGGTGTAAGAACAATTTTACCTCCATGATATCAAAAACCTATTTATCAGCCCCTTGTTTGGTAGTTTTCACAATAATATATAAAGTTAGCATAAAACACTAAAAAAAAAAAAAACACTCATTACCGAGGGCAATCTTAATGTTGTAGGAATAGTTAATAATTCAGACGAAATAATTTGAATTTTCCGAGAGCTATGTAGCCATCGGAATCAAGTATCATTTTTTTGGCAATGTTCGAGAACCTTACCCTTGTTGTAGGAATTGAACTTAACATCGAGAGTGTATTTGGTTCAAAGAATGTTGTATTATTGTAAATGTTATATTAATGGAAAGATAGATTACCTTGAAGATTACCATGAATATTTAGAGAAATGTGTTTGGTTGGTTGAAATAAATTAGTGGGTATATTATATTAATACGTTTGGCTGGGAGGAATAAATTGATAGGTATATTATGTAATTTACTAAATTGCCCTCCTTTTTAAATATTAATATAATAATTTTTTTATTTTTTTATTTTTTTTATTTTTTTGAATAGTTTTTTTAACCCCCTGCATTTCAGATTTAACTAAAACACCCCAACAACAAAAAAAGTTTAAAACTTAACAAAAAGACTCCCATTCACCCTAAGCCATGGATCTGGTCGGAAACGACCTTAGTGATGCACGACTGGCCAGATCCGGCCAGTCAACCCTTGGGTAATTTTTTTAAATTCTAGGGGTATTTATGTCCTAAAAACATCATATATAAGGATAAAATAGTCTATTGGTATTTTTGTAAATTGTTTTTAAAACAAGGGTATTATTGTCCCAAAATTTTATTAATAAGTGATAAAATTGTAACAAAAATAAGATTATCAAGTAATATTAAAATACCTAAGAAAATGGAGGTAGTTAGATTACCTCCTATATTACCAATAGTAATTACTATTGATTTTAGAATATTACTAAAATCTTATATTATTTGAATAATCAAGTAATATAAAATGATATTATCTCAGTAATCTCCTATTACCCCTAACTAAACACACCTCGAGAATAGTTAATATCCGTCGAAAAAAGTTGGTCGAAATTGAGCATTTTTGTTGTAGATATAAGAGGGGTAACGTTGTTAGTTTTAATAGTTTATGAAACCACTGGTCAGATTCATACAGGGGTTGACTTTATAATCCCCTAAAATAAATGATGTTATTTATTAGAACATAACCTTTAAACAAGGATTAATTAATCGTAACGATAGTGACATCATTAATTAAGAAGTAAATAACTATAGTGGGGAGAGGGTAGCTTGATTTAGAAGTTATTTATAAGCGTGGAGCATAATTTGATTATAGAAGTAATTATAATTTTGAAATATGCAATAGAAGACTAATTAAGTCATTAATTTAGTTAAAATTAATTACCCAATAAACTTTTCAATGAAAATCAATTTAGCATTTAAGTTGCAATTTTATTTGTTTCCTTGATTTACTAATGGGTTGACTTATTGTAATTTAAATTAAATTTATACATTAAAATTTTTGATATTAATAAATGTTATTTTTTAAATCCTCCGTTTGAAATTATAATATTATATATGGATGATTATAAATTTATATCAAAAATTTTTAAGTTATAAATTTATATATACTGAATGTTTTTTCTCTTTCTTTCTTTTTTTTTTTTTTGTTTTTTTTTTTGTTTTTTTATTTCTCATAAAGAGTTGGAATAAAAACATATTTCGTTTGTAGTATAAGAAAATATGTAAAGTATCATAAAGCCCCTTATGTAAAATTTTTACCGCTATAAGTTACACCAGCTACCTTTCATCATGTAAAATTATTAACCCCTAATAAATTCTACAACCCTCATTATATAACCTAACCAAGGCCTAAAGCCCAAGTCCGGCTCCAGGTTTTACAAGCCCGGGTTTGCATTTTAAAAAAACCCGAGCCTGACCCGGGCCCGTGGTTTTTACCTCCCAATTTAGCACACCTCCATAATTGTAAATTAACCACCATTTTCTATTAGACCTCCAAATATCAATATACATTATGGCACTGCCCCACTCTAAAAAGTAAAAAAAAAAAAAAAAAAAAAATTATTGTTGTATCACATTATTCATGAGTCAAACTAATAAAAATTTGTTCATAGTAATGATAAATTTAAAATTCATCAATCATATGTTGCTTTACTGGGTTTAATGGGGTCATCAATTTCCCTATGAACTTGCTAAAACGTGAACATTATAGAAAGATCTATCTAAGTGACATAGATATTTAACTATCCAAACTTTTTTTTGTTTTTTTTTTGTTTTTTAATAACCAGAGTGTTTATGCCAGTTTGTGCACTCCTTAATTAATCTCCAGAGCTCATTGAACACCTTACAAGTCTAATGTTCCAAATTAAACTACAAATATGGTAGATGGTTCCAAAATGGTTCAAACCCACAAAATCAATGAAAAGAACAAATATTTTTGATGGCCAAACCAACCCCTTAGACAATTGTCCAACTTATCAATAAGCTTACATGTGCATTTTAAAGTCTCCAGCTCGTGTCGTCTATGGCTAAGTTTGGAGCTCTGTATTACCAATTAACTGCTTAAACTTATAGTTCAATGGTAGGTGCTTGATCCTGATATATTAACATTAACAAATAAGAAAACAATGCATACGTAAAATGTATTTATTGACATCATGTATTGATAGATATATAACATGTTAATGTCACGCCTAATAAAAGTTTTGCCGAGGAAACGTTTCAATTCTACAGAGCAATACTAAATGTTTGGCAAAGCTAGTAAATGAGAGGGTTGGCAAGGCAATTTGTCATCTTCATCCAATTGGAAATGTTCATATATAGACTAGAGAAAAAGTTGCCCTAGATAACAATTAATATGGAGTAAATGTACTTAGCAAAAAAAAAAAAAAAAAAAAAAATGGAGTAAATGTTTAGTCCGGAAAAAACGCTAAATTTCCCTCTATAAATTGGAAGGATTTTTCTGCTTTGAACGAACAAGTTATTAACTATTGGAAATCAGAAGGCTTATAGTAAGAAATAGAGAAATGGGTATCGAAATGAAAGCGTTCCTGATACTATCAATGGCAATGAGCCTAATCTCTGTTGCATTTGCAGCTACAGGGACTGCCACTTACTATACAACTTATGTCCGTGAGTATTCGTATCATTTGTTAATTTTATAATTTTCTGTGCTCATGCATAAGATAAATATTGACTCATACGTACTGTTTTAATATTATTTACTATAAAATTCCATTTAGCGCAAGGAAACTAAAATATTTAGATAATTTTCTCACTCGGGAAATATAGTCTGAATATATATATATATATATATTCATTTCCTCTGCATATAGCTTCTGCATGCAATGGATATCAAAACGATGGAGATATGATAGCGGCTGCAAGCAATGTCCTGTGGAACAACGGGGCAGTTTGTAACAAATATTACAGAATCACCTGCACCGGCCTCGCTTACCAAGGTGCAAACCCTTGCAAATCCGGCAGCGTTGTTGTCAAAATTGTCGATCACTGTCCTACCGGCTGCACCGGAACCATTGATCTCTCTGAGCAAGCTTTCGCCAAGATCGCCAACACCGCAGCCGGAAAGATCAATATTCAGTATACTCCGTATGTTCATTCAGGATGCCCTATTACTTAAGTTGTTTGATATAGCTAATACAAATGAATTTTAATGAATATTCTGTTTGTTTATTGTTGTTTTGCAGGGTTTGAAGTTGGCAATTAAAAAGCTTTAGTAATAATAATATAATAAGCATGAATACTTCACGGCATGCCTTACAATTGAACGAATACATGTACGTGTATTTCACCGTAGACTTTTTCTTAGTTGATATGTAGATTGATATAAACAAAATAAATGTTACTGAAACATAGTTTTTGGAGCTCTCTTTATATATAATTATACCAAGTGAAAGTCAGCATATGTCATAGATTTGACTGGCAAAAATTTTGGTCCCTAAATTTAGAGACCAAAATTATATATAATTAGACAAAAAATTTAACTTATTACACGTTTCCACTTAGGCCACTTTATTCCATCAAACTATGGGTATTGAAATTACAAAGCAAATTAAGAAACCTAAAGAGGTACAAATTTTCATGAAGTGCAAAGCTTATTGGAAGTGTATGATGTCATCTAATTTTGCACTTAGAAAGACCTATTCCTCTGAGTAAAAGCTTCAAACCCTGCAAATTAATTAACAACATAAAAAGTTTAAAAAAAAAAAAATGTTGAGAAATTAATAGTAAAATCTAATTAATTAACAAAGTATAAATTAATAAGTTTGCTTACGGGGTGTAGTCAACGATAACGTTCCCGGCATCAGGATTAGCAATCTTAGCAAAAGCATCTTGAGAAAGATTAAGAACCCCATTGCATCCTGTTTGACAGCGATCAACCACTTTAACTACAACGTTACCAGACCTGCAAGGATGTGGAGCTGCATTGGTGCCCCTGATGCATCGCACTCTATACCTTCTCCCACTAGCTCTCCCATTGTTCCATAGGGCATCGCTTACTCCGGTCACCATCGTTCCGTCGTTGCGGTTGCCGTAGCAAGCGGAAGCTGCACTCCAAGTTCAGAATTTCCGTTCATTTCTACTGTTAGGAATGGTTCATCTCTAGATGTCTGTACTTGAGAACTTCAAGACAAATGAATGGTATACTTAACGTAATAAATGAACTAATAATTTAAAAAATTTAATTGAGACAAATATGGGTAAAATATACTTATTAATGTAAGGAGGTTTATAGAAAACAACATTTCCTTGAGCCATGTGCCAGTGCTACTGAGGGCTGAGGCTAATTAGCATAGCACAATACCAAGAAGCACAAAAATTCTCAAATCAAACATTTTTTTTTTTTTGGTATTGTATTGCTTCGTTATATAATTTTGAGGTGCAGCTAATCCAGATGCCAAATCTCCCCTTTTATAGAGGAAAAATAGAACAGAGATCTACCAGTAATTTAGTCATAATGCCCCACTTAAACATTTACTGACAAGAGGAGGTGAATTATTATTTAAGAAAACCTAAAGAGGAAAACAAAGCCTATATAAATAACAAGTTTTTCTAAATTTATTAAGTAAACGAAATAACTGAAAACTTAAGTTCTAGCTAGCTTTCAGGGAAAAAAATGAAAGAAAGATTTCTTTAAACCATTTTTAAACTTAAAAGTCGTGTCACTATGTACATAGAAAAACTGTTGTTAGTCTCTTATACCTTTCACTGTTTCCTCAAACTCTTCAATGAAGTAATTACGTAGCAAAGACCACAATACAACAATTTAATTTGTCATAATTTTCTTTGGCAAGATTTAATGTTGGTCAACCACTGGACCTGTAATACTGTCACTGTGGTGGAATACAAAGGAAAGGTAGTGGCATCTGTTATGCTCTATTCTAATGTCAATAATCTTCTGTGGTCTAAAAAATAACAATTTACTACTAAAATTTTCGACGTCTCCAGTCTCCACACACAAAATGGGGTACCTCTATCTAGGCAACTAACAGTAGCCAACCGGCCCTAATCCTCGTTCAATAAATGTCACTATTTATGATATTTTCCAGTTCTCCTATTAATTAATTCTTGGTACCATAGAGTAAGGATAGGGTTATTATCAATCTAACAATAAGAATCCCAAGTGACATCATGAAGTATTTTTGTTTATTACGTATCATGAGAAGCTTCCAACTTATTACAAATTGAATATCATCTTTACCTTGTATTTTTTAAGTCCAACTATTTGACTAGCTCAACAAAATATAAAGAGTAAACAACTTTTTACCACCCAAATAATGGTTTAATGACACTTTCCTACCCGAAAAGTTTCAAAATTCAAACTTTAATACCCAAACGTTATATTTTGTTAATGATTTCCGTTACATACAGTGATATTCATTGTGAAGATGAAAATACCCTTTACTATTTGACGAAAAATACCGGCGACATGCAATAGTGTCGCTTGGACAATGAACAGTGAGCAAGTGGGTAGTAGGGTGGTAGGGTTTTGTAGAGTGGGAGCCAGTGAAGCAAAAGGTGGTGACAGCTTGAATTTGGGCCAACGGATTCCGTTGGAATTTGGCTAAAAGTGGCAAAACCCTAATCCAAACGGTGCCGAAAAATGCTAAGAGCGATCAACCAATAGTCAGGGGGATTTGGAGTATGGAGGTCAGGGAATCTAGTGGTGGTGACGATTTGGATTTTGGCCACCGGAATTGACCGAAATTTGGCTAGAAACGGTGAAACCCTTATCCAAATGGCATCGACGAACTATGGAAGTAATCAGGCAATAGTCAAGGGCGTTTTGGAGTAGTCAGGCTTGTAGGTGATTGGCCTTTTCGTTGGGGCAAAGGGTCAAACATGTGGTGTGTGTGGATGGAGCAGCAAGGTTGGAAAGATGAGGGGACAATCAGTGACCAAAATAATACAACACAACAACTCAAACAACAATCAACAGATTAACACTAGGAAAAAAACCAACAAAAAATAGGGGATTGGGGTCGCAAAATTCAATTGTCTCACGGCGGCAAAATAGCAAGTGAAAGAATGGAAAAAAGGGGGGGGGGGGGGGGGGGGGGGGGGGGGGGATGTCGAGGGTAAGGTTTTGAAGACGTGAGGATGGGGGTTCGCGACCAGAATCTGGCTGTGAAAAGTGAGATTGCACGAAGTAGTAGTCATTGACCGACAAATGGAGGGTGCAATGGGTGAGTGTGATAGTGGGTTTTGGAGAGGGCGATGAGAGGATTCTGAAAGAAGTGTGGAGAAGGTTTGGCAGTGTCGGAATCCAGCCAAAATTGACGGTCATATGGGAGGAAATGGGTCACGGGAAACAAAGCACTAAAATGACAACAACTGCAAAAGAAGAAAAGAGAGAAGTGATTTGCCAAATAAATAGGGAGAACAAGGAGAAAAAAGAAATTAATGTTAATTGACCATCTTGCCTTTACTTATAATGAACTTTTGACCATCCTACCCTTCTTCTCAATGAAATTTTCTAACGAAACTGTGCTATGGATAGTAAAGTTGTATTTTGAAACTTTTTGGGCGAGAAAGTGTCATTAAGCCATTATTTTGTGGAAAAAAAATTGTTTACTCAAATATAAAATCAAAATTGGCAACTAGCCCTTACCCTATAGTGTACGTATATATAATTAAAAAAAACCAAGACATTCGGAGAAAATAAAAGATATTTGTCTTTCCTACAATGTTGTTAAACCCGACTTAGGCCTTGACCCGACGAAGGGGCCGATCCCCTGGTTAAGCAATCTGAGTGGTCTAACCGGTCGGTTGGACCGATGACGTCAGTATATCCAATAGGTTTGAAATTCAACAAACACACCCTTAGAAATTATGCATCAATCCCTATAGACTTAAAATCCAACAAACACAGGAAACCTTAGCCATCGCAACTGCAATTCACCCCAAATTAGCCCAACACCAGACAAACCACCACTAGGCCACCACAAAAACCCTAATCCATCACAAAACACCACCATCTATCGCCAATGTCATAGTTGTGTGACTCCTCTACGCTCGATCTACAGTCGCATGACTCCATCGCACGCGATCTTGCCATTGCACCACCATTCCACCAACCCTCCCACCCTCTGCCAATCTAAAACCTCATCAACACACCGCCACTTGCTCCCATCAACAAACCATCGCTTGTTTGTGTGACGCTTTGCACGATTGTGGTGCTTTTGAATTTTGATGTCGATCTGCCACCACCGAATAACAATCCAATCTCACTTTGATTTGTTGTTGATTGTGTTTCTTTATTATTTTTTTGACTGATTTTCATTTGTGTAGTGCCAACTGGCCACTGACTGTCGGCCATGCAAATTGAGCCAGAACAAATTTTGAATGGCTAAAGATGAAGATTGAAGATGCAAAATTGAAAAGGGCAATTTTTTTTTAGGGATTTTACTGATCCAATTTAGCCATTAGGCCGGTTGAACCGACGGTTTGTTATTATTACACCACTTCATAGTTCGTTCAATCCAAGTCATAAGCTAAAACTAGATTTTGGGTGTGCCCAAACTACAGTTAGGGCCACTTCCCGGTCAGACCGGTCAAACCGGCCAATTCGATCCGAGTTTGAAAACATTGTTTTCCTATAAAAGAAAAACATGTATAAGACCGACATTGTAGTTCATATTCTCAAAAATTTATAAAACTTAATTGATATTAATCTAATCGATGAACAAATATTGCACATATTTAGATTAATTATTTAAAATATATATGAGAAGCATATGAATTTAGAACAAGAATTGGTGAGAGATTCGTATATATTTTTAAGGTTAATGCCCACCTCAAATAAGTGCAAATGGCACCAAAAATGTTGTGTGGTTTCCATAAATCTTCCCATACATCCATTGAATTAAGACTTAATTTTACAGCTAGCCAAGTCTAGAATTGACTTAATTAATTGTGCCTTATATAATAATTAATTTGAGAATATATTTTGAATCAAAATTTTGTTTTCTCTATCTATTGGAGCAAACTTTCAGTTGTTTCACTCACACCAAAAAGTACTTTACAAACCATAGGGTGAAGAAATATTAAAGAAAATGGCCTCATAAATGAAAATTTTGATGATGTTTACCATGAAAATGTGCTTTAGCTCCGCCGCGTATGTAGCTCAAAGGACTGCCACTTTCTATACTCCTCCTTAAACCTGTGAGTATAAATTAATTTATTGCGTGTAG